TTTTTTATTATTTTCTTACTTTTAAGAGATACTTTTTTTTTAGTAGCTTAATAAGAGGCTTAGTAATTTAAGTATACTTTTTAATTTAAATTTTATAGTAACTTAAGATATTTAAGAAGATTTTAACTTTAATTTAATTATAGTATTCTTCTTATTTAATAATCTTTAGAATCTTATTTTTTATAGGCTTATAACTATAAGTTTTATAAAAATATTCTATTAAAAAAACAGCTTTTTAATAGAAAAATAATTTCTTTATAGTAATTAAATAGCTAAAAAGCTTTATATTAATAAAAATAATATTAAGATTTATTAAGTATTTTAAGATATATCTTCTAATATTAAAAAGAAATTTCTTTTTATTATAATTCTTAATAGAATTCTTAATACTAATATTATATAAAAAAGCTTTAACTTTATTAGATATTAAATTAAAAAGAATTCTTATTATAATCCTAATAAATTAAATTGCTAAGTTTATAACTTTCTAAGAAAGAGTATATAGCCTAAATAGATTAATTAATATTTAGAAAGTTATTAAGTTTCTTCTTTTTATATTTAAAGTAATTTAATTATATTTAAAAAGAAATTAAGAATTAAAAGAATTTAATATATTTTAAATTTAGTAGAAAAGTCTTTAATTCTAAGAAAAATTATTCTATTTTTAATAAGATATAAATTTCTATGTTTCTTAGCTATAAATATCTATTAATTTCTATAAAAAGTATAACTTTCTTTAATAATCTTATTTTTTAATCTTTTTTTTAATAGCTAAATAACCTTAGTTTTAATTTTATAAAAAATAACTATATTATTATATTACTAAGCTATATAAAATATAATTTTAATAATTTATAGAAGAGTAATTTTAAAATTAAATTTCTTTTTTTTCTTAAAAATCTAAGCTAGAACTTCTTTTTAATTAAAAATAATTTAATAAAAAATTTCCCTCTTTATATTATTAAAGATATTCTTAATCTATCTTATTAAAGTATTTAATTTCTTATTAAAAAGTTTTAATTTCTTTTTAATTTTTAAGAATTTAAAAGTAATATAATTAGTATAAAAGGAGTTTTTTTTTAAATTCTCTTTAACTTTATTTTATTTCTTATTATATTAGAATAGGTTTTCTTTAAGTATAAATCTATTAGAAGGGATATTATTTCTAGGCTGAATTTTATTAGTCTTTTTTTATATATATAATATTAACCCAGATTATTATATTCTTTTAGCTACTATTTAAAGTATAAGTTTTCTTAATTTTAAATTATATTAAATTATTCTTTTTTATTTAGTTTTTAAAAATAATCTTAAAAACTTTTTATATTATCTTTTTATTAATATATCTAATAAGATACTTAATATTATTCTTCTTTAAATTATAGATATTATTAATAGTAATATTAAAAATATTATTATTATTTAAAATTATAAAAAGCTTACTAATACTTTTCTTATTAATAAGAATAAGATTAATAATAAGCTTATTATTCTAACTATTAGTAGATTTTTTTAATTTTACTATTAATTTTATTAATAATTAGATTTTTAAATAATTAATTTTAATTTCTTTTTATAAAGTTTATAACTAGGTTTTATTCTTTTAATTAGAAGATTAATTTTAAATTATAAAACTAGATATTAAATTATCTAAGAAACTAGTAGCTAGAGATTTTTAAAACTTTTAGATTTATAAAATAACTAGCTTTTTAATACTATTAAAAAGTTCTATCTTCTAAACTAGCTTTAAAAAAATATTAACTTCTCTTTAACTTATTTATACTATATTAACTTTTAAGTTAAAATTATAATAGCTAGTATTTCTATTTTTTTATAGCTTATAATATTAATTAGAAAATACCTAGAGATATAATAGTAGAAGTATTTAATTTATTTTAACTATAGCTAGTATTAGTAATAAAATTCTAGTTATTTTATAAAATCCTCTAGAAGCTGGATTATAATTATAATAAAGCTAGTTAAAAAGCCTCTACTTATTTATTATACTTTAAATTATAGCTACTAACTTAGCTTCTATATCTTTCTAGTAATAAATAGTATTAATACTTAACTCTTAGACTATTTTAATAAGGGAATTAATAGCTTAGTTAGTTTTTACTTAACTTACTAATAGAAAGAAATATTTTATATTCTTCTTTAAAAGTCTTTTATTTAATATAAATTCTCTCTCTTAGAATTCCTTAATTAAATCTTTAAATTCCTAGTTTTATTTAAGTAAAGATATTATAAAATTAACTATATTATTATAAATCTTTACTTATAGCTTCTAGATTAAAATATTCTTCTATTTATATATCTAAATAATAACTTTTAAAGAAGAATATAAAAATAATATAGAAATTTTCTTTTTTAAATTTCCCTTTATTTTAAAAAGCTTATATAGCTTTTAATAAATTTTAAGCTAGTTAAGTATCTTAAAATTAATTACTTTTCTTATAATAAAAAGTTTATTTTAAAATCTTTTTAAGAAGTTAAAGCTATTATTTCTTATTTTTCCTCTTAAAATTCTCTAAAAGCTTTATTTTAACCTCCTCTAAATATTATATTTATAGGCCTTTTCTATTTTATTTTAATATTCTTATAGAAAAATAAATTAATAGTAGTTATTTTTTTTTCTTATTAATATAAATTCTATCTTTAATATAGTTTTTAAATAACTATATAAAGCTGGGAATATTAATTCCTTTAAACTTATATTTAAATATATAAATAGAAATAAGAAATCTTAATTTATTATTCTTATTAGCCTTAAGTAACTTTTATTATTTAAATTTATCTTAAAATAGATATTTAACTTTAAAGAGATTTAATTTTATAAAGATAATTCTATACTAACTATAAAAGTAGTAAGCTATAATTAAGCTAGTTTAATATATTAAGTTAGAGAATAGCTAGTTATATTTTTAAGTATCTTATTTAATACTTTTCTTTTTTTCTTTTTTTTCTTATTTTAATAGTAATATTAAAATTATAAGTATAGTTAAAGAAATTTTAGTTTTTAAAGAATAATTATTTTCTTATAATATAGCCTTAGCTAACTATATTAAAATAAATATCTAACTATAATAATATCTTTTTATATAAAAAAGTAAGTAGCTAGAAAGAAATTATAAATAAAAAATAAAAAAAGTTAAAAAAAAGTTAAATATCTATCTTAAGTAAATATAAATTATAATAGTTATAAAAATCTCTTAAAATAAACTAAAAGTAATAAAAAAAATTACTATTAATAATTAAGATTTTTATTTAGTACTCTTTTATACTTTCTAGTAAAATCTCTTTTTATAGAGTAATTATTATAATAATAACTCTCTTTTTAAATATTACTAATCTTTTTATTTTCTTTTATTACTTTTAAAAGTTAAAACTCCTTTTTTATACTTTCCCCTAAATTTTAAATTCCTAATACTATAAATAAATAATAAAATTAATATAGCTGAATCTTAGTTTTTTATAAAATACTAATTATAATTATTATAATAATATCTTTTTATTTAATTAACTTTTATATATTCTTATTTAGCTAATAGCTTATTAAATAAAATTAGTAATTTAAATTTAAATAGACTTCTATAAATATAATTATCCAGGAATATTATTTTATAATATACTTTTAAGCTAATTATATTTTCTTTTTTAATTTAGCTCTTAAAGTTAAAAAGTTAATATAGTTATAATTAATATAACTAGAAGTTTAAATTATTATAAATATTCTCTCTTATAAAAATACTTAAATAGAATATCTAGCTTTTTATTAATTTAATTAAGCTTTCTAAGCTTTTTTAGCTTATAAAAAACTCACGGAGGTTTTAATTCCCTATCTTTTTTTTCTTTTTCTTCTTACTCTTTTTAAGTCTAGTAGTTATAGTATAAAAGTATATTAATTAATCTCTTTAATAAGTAAAATTAATTAATTTGCTGCTCTACTATAACTTTAATTTAAACTAAAAAAAATAGAAAATAATATCTAATTTATTAACTTACTCTAAAGAAAATATATAAAAAGTTATTATATAGTATCTTAGCTAGTTAGCCTAAAGCTATATTAAATTATATATATAAAATTAAATTAATTTATAGCTTATATCTTCTAATAGAAAAGTATTTTATAAGATAGAATATTAAGTTAATTATAGAATAATTTACTAGTAAGATATTAATCGAGCTTATAGCAATTTGATATTTAAGAGAGGTTAAAAATAGAAATTTAATAGAAAATATAGTAATAGTAAGAAAACTTAAATAAATCTCTTAAAAATAAAAGTAATTAATTAATAAACTTTTTAGTAATTTTAAGCTCTTCTAGCCTCTCTAACTTCTAAAAAGAATTTCTTATATTAAAAAAAAAAGATAATTATTTCCTTTAGTAATAATACTAATTTTCTTTTTTAATTTTATTTAAGTTATTCTAGAGATATTTCTATTAGTAACTAGCTAGCTTAAGTATCTCTAACTGCCTATTATAATATAAATAACTTTTTATACTTTATTTAGAATTTCTCTCTAAATAAAATTAAATAATTTTTTAAGTATTCTTTCTTTATTAATATTTCTTATAGTTACTTTTTTATTTAGTAAAGTTATTATAATATTATCTTATTAATACTACTTATATTAAAAGATACTTATATTAAGATAAAAGCTATTATTTTTAAGTTTAATATAACCTAAATCTACTGCTATTAATTTCTCTATCTTAGTAATATTCTATAGCTACTATTATAATATTATAACCTAAGTAGATTTTTATACTAATTTTAATTTTAATATTAAATTGGATTTTAAATAAGAGACTACTAAGATCTTAATAATCTCAATTTTATATAGTTACTTTTTTTTTATTTCTTAATTAATTAATTAATTAAATAAATAAATTAAATAAATAAATTAAAGTTTCTAATAAACAATCTGTAATTATAACAATAAAAGAGCTGTCCGGCTTAGAAGTAGCTCTATATAATAGTACTCAGTCATACTAGGTCATCATCCACAGAAAGGTCTATGATGTAACGGACTTCCTGCCAGGTAAAGAATCAGGCTGTAACCCGGCAACGATCGAACTTTCCGCTAATAACATCCAATCAGAACACCCGGGAGGGTCTAAGGTCATCCTCAAGTATGGAGGAAAAGATGCCACGGCAGAGTTCGAACCCATTCATCCTCCCGATACCCTCGACAAATACTTGCCCAAGGACAAGCATCTCGGCCTCGTCGAGATGAAAACCGTCGCCGTAGTTGAGCACAAAGAGTCATTGGTCGAGCTGGAGCGAAAACAACGGGTTGCTCAGATGCCTAGCCTTGAAGCCTGCTACAATTTGATGGATTTCCAAGCTGTGGCAAAGAGAGTCATGAGGCCGTCTGCTTGGGCCTATTATAGCTCTGGAGCAGACGACGAGATCACGATGAGAGAAAACCATAACGCCTTCCACCGTGTCTGGTTTCGACCCCGTATCCTCAGAAACGTCGCGGAAATTTCAACCAGAACGGCTATGCTTGGTACTCCCGTCGATATGCCTTTTTATGTTACGGCTACGGCGCTGGGCAAGCTAGGCCATCCGGAAGGCGAAGTGATTCTTACTCGGGGAGCACACAAGCACGGTGTCATTCAGATGATACGAACTCTGGCTTCGTGTAGTTTCGACGAGATATGCGACGCTAGAGCCGGCTCACAGGTTCTGTGGCTACAACTCTATGTCAACAAAGATCGCGAAATTACTCGAAGGATCGTCCAACATGCCGAGACAAGAGGCTGTAAGGGCTTGTTCATCACTGTGGATGCGCCTCAGCTTGGGAGACGAGAAAAGGACATGCGATCCAAGTTCGAGGATACAGGTTCGAACTTTCAGGACGCTGAAGGAGAGGATGTTGATAGGACACAAGGCGCGGCCCGAGCCATCTCGTCGTTCATTGACCCTAGCCTCTCTTGGGACGACATTCCCTGGTTCTTCGAGATTACCAAGATGCCTGTCATTCTCAAGGGCATCCAATGCGTCGAAGATGTTCTGAAGGCGATAGAAATAGGGGTGCAAGGAGTAGTCCTCTCAAACCACGGAGGTCGACAGATTGATTTCGCTCCTTCGGCAATCGAGGTGCTGGCAGATGTTATGCCTGTACTTCGTGAACGAGGATTACAGGACAAGATTGAGATTTATATAGACGGAGGTGTCCGTCGTTCAACTGACATTATCAAGGCATTATGTCTTGGTGCAAGGGGGGTTGGAATCGGACGTCCATTTCTCTATGCTATGTCGACGTACGGCTTGGCCGGCGTGAGCCGAGCGATGCAGCTGCTGAGGGACGAGATGGTTATGAACATGAGGCTCATTGGCGCGGCAAACATTCATCAGCTGACACCTGACCTGATTGATGCCTCTAATTTGAAGTCGCACGTCGCTTCTATATCTTCAGATACCTTGTCGTTGGCGACATATGCTCCCTTACTGCCACCACAGCAACGGCCCGAGTCCAAGCAATAAGACTAGCCCTACCGATATGTATGTACATAGCTAGAAATATCTCGACACTTCAATTCACTTCTTGTTACAAGATAGCCTTAAAACTTATCTTTATAAGTAGCTTAGGCAGCTAAGGATACCGCTCTACTAACAGGTAGTCAACCTGCTTGCCATCGACCACGCGGGCCATGGCCAGACACGGTCGAAGTCTCCGGATTTCTCTCAGCATGCGCTCGGCCCGTGCCAGGCTGGATTCAAATTCCACTCCTGACCGCTCCAAGGGCGTTTTTAACTACTATTACCGAAGAAGGTCATGGAAGTTAGTGGCCTGGACTACATGGTGCTCTCCCTCGGCGGATCCTGACGGACGTCGATTTCCGGCACTTGCAAGCGCCGTCTTCTCGTGGCGATAGCCAACACGTATGTCCTCGAGCACCGCATTCCCATGAGCTCTCTTGGCAGTCCATATAGTAATTTATTGCTCAACTGTCAACTATAACAACGTATAGTCCCTGTTATGGAATCCCCTCTGTAAAAGGCTGTTCACATATAGCTTCAAAGTACCGAGGCTGTCTTCAATTCAAAGCACACTCGCCTGCCTTCCTGCGGCTCCTTCCCGCGTTCCTTTCCAACTCGGATACGTCAATCGACCGTGACGACGACCTTTCCGACATGCTGATTGCTCTCAAGATAGCGATGCGCTTCAGCAATATCCTTGAACGGAAAGGTCTTATCGACGATAGGCTTCAGCGAGCCGTTGGCGACGCTCTTCAGCACGAACTCAGTCATCTTAGTGCGCTTCTCTGCATTCAATAGGGTCTGAAATACAGCTGAAAACTTGATGGTTGCAAACTTGGCCATTCCCTTCAGTGGGTCAATCGTGGCCGGAGCCAGGTCTAGGACGCCGTAGATGAGGATTATCCCGTTGATTGCAACTGAATCGAGTAGTTTGCTGATGCCTTTTCCAGCAACCGGGTCGTAGATGACGCGGCAGCCGACGCCGCCGGTAATACGAGCTACTTCTGTCGCGATATCCTGCTCGTCCGTTATAATGATATGTTCGATACCGAGCGACTTCAGTGCCGCTACCTTAGACTGACTCCGGGTCGTACAGATGGGAATGGCACCCTGCGATATAGCAATCTGGGCCGCTGCAATCGCCACCGACGACGTCGCCGCCGTCAGTAATACATACTCGCCCTTTTGCAGCTGGGCAGTGTCGACCATGCTATTCCAGGCTGTACTATACTGCATCCATAACGCAGCGCCATCAACGAACGATATGCTATTAGGCATCTTCACCGCCATCTCCGCCGGCACATAAGCCTGCTCGCCGTACACAGCGCATTCGTGGCCTTTCATCTCAGTAGCGAAACCCGGAACACTCGTAAACCCCGGGATGGTCGCCACGCGATCCCCGATGGCGAACCCGGTGACGCCTTGACCTATCGCCAGAACCGTCCCAGCACATTCCGACCCGAGCATAGCAGGGAACGCTTTGGGCGGGCCAAACCCACCTCCGCGGAAGAAGACTTCCATGCGGTTTATCCCGATGGCGCTGACCTTCAACAGCAGCTCGCCAGCCGCCGGATCCTCGAACGCAATCTCGTCCATCTGCAGCACCTCTGGCCCGCCCAGTTGGTGGAACCTCGCTACCTTCGGCATCGTTGACCTTGGCTTTGGTGGGGGGAGGGGTCTCTGTAGTTCAGTCCGGGATCCGTTTATCCTGTTGCGCGGACGGGTAAGACGGAGGGGCTGCTTTTATATATAGGGAGGACGAGTATATGCGAGGGGTAGTCGACTGGAAGGGGGAATGGCGAGTAAGGATGAGAGTGAAGGTTGGGGTTGGTGGAATCGGGCGCCTTTTATATATGTCTGTCTATATCTATTTGAATACTATCTCCCGTAATACATATATCGTATTTCGTTGACACCGCCTCGGATGCCTTGCACTTCGGTCTTGTTGAAAATCATTTCGGAGTTAATATTTTGCTTTCAAATCATTTTTTAGCAATCACTATGAATAAGGTAGTATTATTTGATCTCTAAAGAAGTGTTATCACGTTGAACTGATTTTGATGCTTAGAAATCAGCTCTTAGAAATCAGCTCTTGATTTCTAATTAATAGAATTAGGTAGAAGTAATAGTAGCAACATATTCCACAAGCGAGTGGGCCACCCAAGCGAGGCAAGTTCGCAGACTGATTTCATTCAAGGCCGAATTTCTCGTTAAGGTGGCCCAGTCGCTCGGATAGCCCACTCGTTTGTGGAATACGGTAGTTGAGTTTGGGAACTGGGACATGTGAGTGCGTAAGCAGGCTGCATTAGCGTCCCCGACGTCATTTACTTGGCAGGGATATTTGCACAGAGCGTATCATCCCGGAGACTCGCCGGTCGCACCCCCTGCGCAAGGGAGGCATTGCTAATGCTAAACGTTACAAATAAATAAGGACCTCTTTTCAACAGCCTCGAAGCAGGAATGTGGTGAACCGAACATAGAGGGGCTGACATGTCCATCTTCATTACTTCACGTTTGGATTGTGGCTGCTCGGCAGTCTCGCAACGCCAGGCTGGCGACCTCACTCCAATCTGCACCGAAACTGAAACGATTTTATAAAGTATTTCAAGCTATAAAGTCTCGAATAGGATTCGCGTTAGACAGTTCTATGGAGACGAGCTTCGGCGTTCGAGAAGAATCTCGAGTCTCTTGGGAACTACATCTGGGTCCGTATCAAGGTGAGCATCCTGCTCGCCGTCGACGCCGGGCTGAACTTGTGCTTCATCTACCTTATGCGGTCGCGCCTCATCGCCGCCAGCCTAGACAAGTACCGGAAGCTGTACCGGTTCAACCTCTGCATGATCTTGTTCTCCTTGTCTCTCGAATAGCCTGGTTAAAAGTTTCGACCGGAAGCGTTTCCAGCGTCTTCCATTGGAATGGATCATTGAGGAGAACCACTCATTTAGCGTTTGTGGACAGGGAAGACTGCGCCGAATATGAAATGGTTCTGATGGATGCTCTGACCACACCAATGCAGAGTGCTTATGAGCTTAAGTTATGCGTACAAACCAGCCACTTGTTCGCCTATCCGGGGACGGTTTAGAGATCGCCACAAGTAGGGGAAGCAGGGCTTTGGCCTTCCATACTACCGTGTACAGTCATTTTTATTTACCTCTTATCAAGAGCTTCAAGATTGATCGGGATCAGACCTTTGTAAAGATGGTCGAGGGGGTGAAGAGTGTTATTGAATTGTGTTATCAACTAGAACTATGGGTACAAAATAAGAAGGAGAATGAGAGCCCTCGAGACTATAGAGTTATTGTGTGTAAAGAAATACATAGAAATGAATTGAAGTACAGAGACGACAGAGATGAGGTGGTGATCTGATAAAGTAAGTTGATAATCAGTCAACTAGAACCATCTGCCACCAATCACATCTCTCGTTCGCAGCCGGGTCTCTCCCCGTGTCAATTCCATCTTTGCTCAACACAGTGAGTGTAGCGTTTTCGCCGTACGCCGGAACCGCTGAAAGACCATCTTGCAGACTCTCAGGGATACCCTGGGTTGCAAAACTGGTAAAGTAGTCCTGCATTACGTACGCAACTGTTTGATTATCTCCCCACATCGTAAGCACAGGAATCCCTGGGTAAACAACGTCCGGGTTGTAGAAGGTGTATTCAACATCCTGTGCGTGGAGTCCAGGAAAAACGTCGAATAGGTAGGAAGAATGGCTGCCGTATGCACTATTCAGAGCGAAGGCATTGCAAACGAAGGTTCCCTCGCCCATGGTCAGCGCGGCGCGTCCAACTTGGTCTTGGTATCCCATCGAGCCATCGAAAACAGGCGGGTACAACACATTCGCAATGTGGTCGATAGTATCCTCGCGGGCAGTAGGAAAGTTGCTGCGGACGAAGTCTAGATACTCCGCATTGTTGGTAACCGGAGCAGTGAACAGAAGACCCTCGTTGGAGTTTTGCCCGACCATGACCCTGACGGATGCGTCGAATTGGCCTTGACTCAGCGCTAACTTCGGATCCTGCGTGATGAAGATTCCATCAACGGACGGACCAAAACCATAGCTGCCATAAGGTGAGGCGAAAATCTGACGGTCATTTGCATCCATCAACTGGTCAGTTGGTAAATTACGAGCCTCTTCGAGGCAGCTAACGTTTGCGAACCGCAAGAAGTCTTGGAACCTTCGCTCCTGGGTGTATGTGGAAGGACTGGGCGTCCATGCCGGAGACTGTATGATAGCCTGTTGGAAAGGCGCTGGGTCGCGGCCACCGTAAGCTGTTAGCTGATGTGTAATGGAGCCTCCACCAGCAGACTCGCCCATGACCGTCACTCGGTTCTTGTCTCCACCAAATAGGTGAATGTGCTCTTGAACCCACTCAAGCGCCATTCTCTGGTCATAGAGTCCTGCGTTGGCCGTGCCATTTGCCTGAAGAGTCGGCCCTGCGAGAAATCCAAATGCACCCAGGCGGTAGTTTAAAGCCACGAAGATAACACCTTCGGAAGAGTTGGTTTGGCTACGCCTAAGTAAACTCCGTGGATCATAGCCGCTCGTCTTAGAACCGACGGCATAGCCGCCACCTTGGGTATATGTAAGTAAAATGTCAAAAATGAAATGCTCTAAGTGTCTTACCGTAGATCCAAACGAGAACAGGGGCTCCGTAGCCTTGGCCTGCCTTTTCAAAGATTCCCTGAGGAACCATGACATCGAGGAAAAGGCAATCCTCATTCTGACTTGGGTCTCGCGGTGGAGTGGAAGAACCGTTCGTGGACGGGACTGCTGCAGCCGTAGCATTTGGAACAGTACCATATTGCAGGTATTCAGGTACCCAACCGATCGTTCCCATCCAAGGAGGATAATTCTGCGGGCACATGCGGGATTCTGAACCATTCTGAATTACAGATCGATCAACTGCCGGAGGTTCAGGGGCCCTGAATCGGAGATCGCCAAGAGGAGGTGCAGCGTAGCGAATGTTCGTGAAGTTGTAATAACCCCCGGTTTCCTAGACGTATCTCAGTATGACGCTATAGGGAAGGAAGATGTGAGGAATACATTAAAATCAGCTGCACGTTGAAGTGCATATCCGAAGTCGAGGACCGGTAGCGAATCGGAGGGGCTTTGCGCAGTGACTACACCTGGAAGTAGAATGGTCAAAGCCCCAAGGAATCCCACCGAACAGTACATTGTAACGATTGATGTCAAATATGATGCTGTGTTCTGCAGAGATATACTAAAATCCCGAATGTCTTCGGGAGGGCGTTCTCTTTTATATAGTTCTTCGTGATTGAACCTTCAAAGTCAAATGTGCACCGATCACCTACTTGAGAGACGCCCAAAATGGCTGCCCTTGGGCCAATAATCGGACGATCAGGTATGAATTAGAGAAGTTGGCGACGTGGTACCCTTGCCCTCGGCAATTCGCTCACACAAGGAGAGGACTAGTGTGGCAATTCTGACGGCACACTACTCCGAGAGATGCACGGATGGCAAGCTATCCCTTAGTGTCGTAAGGCAACACTTACGCTAGTAGCAGGGATTTAAACCCACTACAAAGCGAGAAAGGTGACGTATACGAGGCCCCACCTATTTTCTATGGCGCTAGAAGTTATGGATCCTAGGGATCTACATGACAGTACAAAACGCTTCACTCAGCCACAGAGCTTTTTAAAGTCAATTAGTGTACCGTTGATCTACCGGGCCTCCGTGGGGACTATGGGCCAGGCGTTGCCTTACAACACTCTACGGGATAACCCTAAGTGCCGACGGAATGATTGTTGCTCCGACGAGTCGTGAGTGGATACGGATTGACGAGACTGGGCCTTGTTGTCTAGACCGCGAGCATTTCTTGCGTAATTTCCCTAAGTCTCTCGTAGTTTCACCGACTGACCTATCTTTATCTTAGTGCCAAGATGTTATCAAGGTTTTCGTTTTGTGAAGCGGTTTCGCCGCAAAAGGTGAGGCACCATGCAACTTGCTTATTCTACGTCATACTTCGTCTCCGGCCTTAGACAATGCTAAGTCCAGCACTCGATTTTGGTACGTGTACGGAGGAAACCTTCAAAAGTCCTCGACCACGCTAATCAACGCCACATCCTTCAACCTCTGTAGCCACTTATCGACACATTAGACCCAGATTGACTCCAGTAGGGCCTATACCTATTGTCTCTATAACTTCAGGGGCGATAGGGGAAGCTTATTTTTTATTACTGACTGAAGCCCGCTATATTCTATTGGCGCTTAGCTAAGTGAAATGAGCTTGAAGTACCCCTTGTATTTGTCCTAAATGTGGCGCTGGTATTTGCTTTTTCCTGGCTCAAGACTTTTGAAGGCTTCCTCCGTACCGTTAACAGCAAACTTGGGCCCCTCTACGTAGTTCAGGGGTGGGTAGGAGACTCCTAGCCATTCCATGTTCGATGTGACACGGCGAAATGTTTGTAGCGACTTCGTTCTTGAATCTTTTTTATTGCTGCAAGAGTGCCTGGCACTGTATCTGTCCAGAAATGACAATTGTGACTGCTTTGCCCTGGATACCTCTTGCCAATACACTGATCCTTGTTGAAACACTGGTGGACAGAGCAAACCCAACCGGAATAGTCGACAGGTGCTAGGCTTGGTTTGTAATGCCCAGTCTGATAAAGCACGGAATCAGGTCCGTCTCACATGCTCTGGCTATGTGCGGAGCGGGACAGACTATGGTGCTGAAAGCAGCTACAATATGCATCGGAATGGCCGTGATCCACCTGAAGGAATGGGCCAAGGTGGCTTCGAAGTAGTACCGCAATGCAATTTCACAACGAAAGAGAGCGAAGGATAGTCTGAGTGAGTGAGGCTATGATCGTGAGTTCAGGAAATCATTTGAGCCCGATGAGTGCTGAAGATTCAGCCAATGGAACGAGAGCCACCGAGTTATGTTATCGAAGTTGTTCGACCCTGATCTAGGGCTAAGGGCCCGGTCTCAGGGTGGAGAACTTGAGAAAGGAATCGTCACAGAGCTCCCTGCTGTAGCCAAAACCTTGCGTTTCATGGCCATTCTCAAGGAAGCCTTGGAGGCTGCTGCTAAGAAAGCATAAGTCTGTCGTATCGGCATACCCCTAGATTTATTAGCCCTAAATCGAACATCGCCTGTCCTGCTCGCTTGGTTGCGAAGCCCTGATCCGCCAGTGGCAAACATGCTCCCCTTGCTTCTAATTGACAGAGAAATTAGAGCTATTATGTCCGAAGTACTGCCGAAAGCGCCTACCAGAGGAGAGGCATCAGTACGTGGCCACCCGTAACCAGAAGCTCCACGAGTCATTCTTCACTCTTGAACAATCATCATATCATGCAAATACAGAGGACTAGTAGCCACGGGCTAGGGACAATCTACAAGGATGATACCGCTGGACACGACCGAGACTCTCTTTGGCGCCTATTCCATTGTCGCGGGCTTGCAGTGTCTGGGCGCCTGGGTGGAGGAGTCGCACTGGCCAGCTTTTAGAGGAGGAATTTTCGGGGCCTGTTTGGTACTCTCCCCAACAACTCCTCTTTGATGTTCGGTCTCCGGCATCGTTTCAAGCCAGTGACGAAGCAAGCCGCAAATCCAAACGCGCTGGTAGGTATCACTCAAACTCAACCCTGGTATCAATGACTTCCAGAATACTGAGGTCTTGTTAAAGAAAAGGCTCAAGAATGTACCACCAAAGATCGATATTCGTATTCTGAGTACCCGAGAGGAAAGGGGAGAATGGGCACCCCCCTGTAGGACTTTGTCTCAAATATCCGAACTAACGACACCGCCGTTACACGCGACGTAGCTGGGGAACGCTTTGCTTATTAGCGTGAAATGAGCTGAATTTATGGTTCCGCTAGCTGTGACCCCAACCTGACAGAACTGCCGAAGGAGATTCCCGTGTCAAGCTTGACGAAGTTCACTGGCTGAAGCCGGGCTTAAGTGAAACCTAAGTCCGCAGGCCGAAGGTTTGACGTCGTCATGTCGCCCCATGCGGTGTGGTTCTTATCTCCGTTGCCCCGCTCTCCTGTTGAAGTCCGTTCAGGCCCTCTCCGGGCTGGAATCGTATAAATAATAGAGCCCAAAAAGCCACGTTCAATTTTCAGTCCTCCATTTCCTCAGAAACTCCTATCGAGACACCTCAAAGCAGCCCGTTCAATTTTGACCCAAGACCACATCCCACAATGACCAGAGTACTCCTTACTGGCGGCAGCGGCTTCATTGCCACCCATATTCTTCAGCTTCTTCTGGAACGAGGGTAGGTTCACAATGCCAGAGGAATGGACATAACGCCGCTAACCGAAGTGCAGCCACTCCGTCGTCACCACTGTACGCAGTTCTGCCAAGGCGGAAAGCATTAAGAAGGCCCACCCCGACCTAGGACTTGAAAGGCTCGATTTCGCCATTGTCCCTGACATCGCGAAGGCTAGTGCCTTCGACGAGGCGGTTATCTCTGATCCTCCCTTTGAGACTGTTATTCACACCGCAAGCCCGTTCCACTTTAATGTGACGGATATCAAGAGAGACCTTTTGGATCCTGCCATCAACGGCACGACTGGCATCCTCCATGCCATCAAGAAGAGCGCTCCATCTGTAAAGCGCGTGGTAAGTTGCAGAAGCTCACGTCTAGCTATTACGGCCACTTATTGTATCAGGTCATCACATCGTCTTTCGGATCTATGATGGACATTTCCAAGGGTCTCTGGCCTGGCCATACCTACAACGAGGAGGACTGGAACCCAGTCACGGCTGAGCAAGCCATGGAAAACCCGGGCTTTGGTTACTCTGGTAGGCCTCAACGCCATGTGCCCGTGTTAATGGTGCTGACAAGTCCCCGCAATAGCGAGCAAGACATTTGCTGAAAAGGCCGCCTGGGCCTTTGTTGCAGAGGAGAAGCCGGAATTTACAATCTCGACTATTCTGCCGCCTCTTGTATTTGGTCCTGCTGTTCAGAGCCTGGCCTCTCTGGATGCCTTGAACACATCCAATCAATTCATTCGAAGCTTCACGATTGGCGCAGCTAAAGAAGCGATCCCTCCCACCACGGTCTGTCTGCCTTAAAAAGAATCACACATAAGACGCATCAGGTAGCGACTGGACAGTTCTAACAGTGACTCAACAGAACCCCATCTTTGTGGACGTTCGAGATGTCGCATTTGCACATGTCATGGCGGCCGAGAAGGCAGAGGCCGGTGGCAAGCGGTTCTTTGTCGTTGGCGGATACTGCTCCAACGCCGAGATCATCGAAATCATTCGCAAGAAATTCCCCGAATACCGGGACAATCTGCCGCCCCCGTCCGTGTCTGGAGGAGGTTAGTGTCATATCCTTCCATTTACCCCTTCCTGCACGATGTGACGCTAATTACAGCCTAGAACTTCCCGCGGAAGTCTACGGTTTTGACACGCGCAAGAGCGTCGAGATCCTCGGTATCAAATACAGATCCCTGGAGGATTGCGTCACGGAGACTGTTCGCTCCTTCTCTGCGGTCAAACAGTCGTAGTAGGCACGGCAACGTGTATTATCAAAGGGCAAAAGGTCGGTAGGGTAGCAAGTTGATTTGGCTGTAAGAATCGTCAACTATGAGACATCTGTCAGTTACATAGTTCACGAGAAAGTAGAAGAGGATGAACCCAGAGTTTGAAAACCCCCTAGTACTTAGAACATGCCCCCGCTCACCTTTACCCTGACGCACGCATTCTCGGTTTGTCGTTAAAAATCCGGAACAGTACCGAGACGCTAATGCAACCGTCTGACGCGCTAATAAGCAGTGGGTCGCATCAGCAACAGGGAGTGGGCTGCTGAGATATGGTCTAACTTAAGTTAGGTACTACGTATGCCTATCTAAGGTAGGTTTGAATGACTCGTTGGTTAAGTCGATGTAGACCAGCTGATCGGCATGGACCATGCCAGAGTAAGCAAGCTGCATACCGACCCCTTTTCTCCTCACCCATGTTGTCGGCTGACAGTCGCCAAAGGCTTCTGGCTACCACGCTACGCGCCATGGATGACGTGATGAATATCGACGCCCCTGCGTATGTCGCGAGCTGTATTGTTTCCCAATGTCCACTTGGGCACTCTGCTATGCTTGAAGTTATTGTGCAGTTTAGTCGGGGCTAGGCGATTCCTGATGCAGACAGAGAGACCTTCCGAGCCGGAGAAACGCTTCCTTGACTTGCTAGCCGGACCAAACTTCGGCTAGATGATGCAGGTGATGCATGACGTGAACCTCGTCAACTCGCAGCCGGGGGATTGACCTGCCGAAGACCGAGGGAAGCTTAAATGAAGGGATTGGGCGGAAGAGGTTGTGTGCCTGATAGTCGGTTTCTAGAGTTAGCGGACTAACACTTGGCGCCATGGAAGAGGCAAGACAGATACCTAGAAACAAGACCAATTAATCAAGTTCCCCTGTCACACTCGTGCAAGCATGTGACGGTACAGAACGCGAAACAGTAGTCCGAACAGTGATTTCAACAATGGTCCACTAGTTATACAGGATCAAGTCGGTTATGCATACACGACGCGACAGGTAATCAGTTCCAACGATCCGCCGCAACCGCCACCTCTGATCTGATTCCATCACCCACCCGCTCGCGTTTCTGGTATCTGCGGCAGGCATGATGCAGCGTGCACTCCGGCCCGATGACCAGAGAACACGCCATCTGCGAGTGAAAGGCCACTAACGTAGGAATTGGAGCAGATTCCAACGGCGCTTCGACCCGCGGCGTAGAGTCCTTGAATCTCTTGGCCAGCCTTGTTCAGAACAAGGCCGGAACTGCCATCAACTTTCAGTCCACCTAATGTAAAAGCTGGGATGGGATATATTAGCGACTTGCGGAGAGAGAGGTCGACCCCGTAAAACGGGCCGCGCTGGATCGGTTTGCACTGTTCCTTCGCCTTCCGTGCCGGATCATCAACCCCGGCTGTAATGGCATCATTGTATGCCTTTACGGTCTTCACCAAACCGTTTCGTGATATACCGAGCTTAGTGGCCAGCTCTTCGAGTGTCTTGGCCTTTCGGTGTCCAATGGAGAAGATATAGAGGGACTGTGCGAGCTGGAACAATTGCGATTCGCTCTTGACTTGTGCCCTCGCTCTCTTCCACGTTTCGTCGTCGACAATTAGAAACCCGCGGCCATCGAAGTTGCGAATCATTCTGCTTGTAAACGTTGAGCCGTAGACGTCTTCGTTCAAAATCCGTCGTCCGTCTACGGACACAGCGATCCCCTGGAGAAACGCAGAAGGGGGGGCAATGAATCTTGAAACATTCACGCGATCCATGCAGCCAACGGAGCCGCCAACGCTCTCTCCGAGGCAGATGCCAGCGCCATCGTCGCCTTCTGTTCCAAGAGGGCTCGTGAGCACGAACTGAGGAAGATGTTCTCGAACCATGTCCAGATTTGCTGCAAACCCGCCGGAAGAGATCACCACACCTGCCTGAGATGTTGCAACTTTCGTCTCTGCAGACCGCCGCCATATGACGTCTGCTACGCCGTTGACAATCCTTCCTGTCGGGGGCGACAACATGAATAGCGTCTTGCCCCAATCCGCGATCAGGCGATGGAGTCTGAAACGCCAACCACGCTCCAACATTGTAGTATAGCGGACGCCGCCTATTCTCCCGTCGTCGTCCACAATGAGGTGGTCGACACGACTGAGTGGTTGGAACGTGACCCCGAGCGCCTGCGCTGAATCTCTCAGGCTTCTCCATAGTACGCCGCCGGCCATACCCTTGCCAAGTTGACGATGGCCACGCGGAGCTGGATTTGCTCTCAAGTTGAACAGATGGGCTTTTTCGTTACCTGAGAAGTACAAGTAATGCCTGTCCGTCGGAAACGACGTCTTGTAATCGCAGAGAGATGAGCCGAAGGTGGCGCCATGCTTTTCGAGCCACGCAACTCTCGCCGGACTCCCTTCACAGAATCTTTTCAATGTTGTGTCATCGATCACACCGTCCACCTCTTCTTTTAGGTAGTTGAACATATTCTCGGACGTCTCATCGTAACCAGCAGCCTTCTGATAGGGTGTTCCACCCCCGGCGTAGAACACGCCCCCGGAGAGCGCAGATGAGCCTCCACCGTGACCGCGATCCAGGACGAGCACTGACGCGCCTTTCTCTGCAGCAGAAATGGCAGCACTGGCTCCAGCAATTCCGTAGCCCACGACGATAAGGTCATAGTTCTTAGGCAGCGTGCCGGGTGGTATCTGGACCTGGATTCTGGATGTCGCGGTTTTCGTACGTGTTGCTGTCGAAAAGGTCAGGGGATGAAGCCCGTCTTGACGTCGCAGACGACTGGCAGCGATGGCTCTCAAACTTTTTAATTGGGCGGTCGGCATGGCTCTGTTGGCGCTAATAACCATTTTCGAGTGTGATACTATTGTACTGTGACAATGGTGGATGGATTCCAGTTGTAACCTTCAACTTTGGCCACAGGTAGACTTCGAAGGCAGTGGGATAATAACCATAACACGATCATAGTGCCCGGGGCCATGTTATAACTTCTGTCCGGGAGTTGCGGGAGCCTAGCTTAGAGCTCCGTGGCGGTGCCGAGGGAACTAGACCACAATGCACGAAATGAATATTACGGAGTAAATCCACCCACGGCATGCGGTCTCCGAGACGGCCCAACTGCAACTTATTCTCTAGCCCAAGGATAAGAATGACAAATCAACTTCTCTGATCACTGAGGAGGCTACCAAACTCTCTTCCTATTCCAAAGTAGTGCATTAGTTCATGTCACCGAGCCTTTGAAGTAATACACACTGCGGATAGCTCGGAGGAGCGATCATTTCGGTACTGGGCCAATCCAGATATAAAGTTCATTCGATGCAACTATCTCCAAATGACAAGGGGGTCCGTGATTCTCTAGAGGAGGGACCGAATGGCGGTCTAACGAGGCGGAAGCCGCGTCCCGTTCACCACCCCATTCCCGAGCCGCTCCCTGTGCGTGCCAGACTCAGCCGTTGCACTGCCGTTGGATGCTATAACACTTCCAGACAAAGAGGCTATGCAAACAAGCTATAATTGAGGGCGATGGAGAATTGAAAGAGGATGGCTGGGATAAGATTTAGATTTCTTTGAAGTTTCAATATAGACTTTTATTCTCTCCATCTTGCATACCCTCCGTGACCGCTCTGAAATGATACCGGCAGACAGATCACGAGCTCAACCTACCCCGTTCTCAACACCTGCTCGCTCCATTACGACAGCCGGGACACGTTGATCTGACTTTTCCGGCCCATCGATTAGTCGATATCCCTGCGACCCGAGCCAAAGCTGTAGCTGTAGTGTAAGATAACTACCTCAACACGGTTACCTCTTCTCCTCTTGGCGGGCGGACCGGCGCTCAGCTAACCCCTGACCTTGGCGTTGGCGGTGCGATCTACGATGCGTACTATTGAAAGACCCTATTACTTCAGTGTGGGTTAAGGTTCAGTGCTGGGAACCCAGTTAAGTAGCGTTCGTTGAATAAAACTAGCTTCTGTACGATAAACTCTACGCCGACTTTGCGGCAGCCTCCACAGCCTCCTTGATCGTCAAAGGCTTAATCTCTGGAAACATTTCGTTGAGTGCCCCCTCCTCCTTGATGTTGAAGGAGCCGTCCGCAAATAACTGCCCAAAAGTCCCAAGAAATTGAGATAGCACTTCCTTGTTAGGCACGGACATAAGATGTAGATATTTATCCACTGCTGGAAGGAGTGTGACCCTTCCATTTTTGAGATCTTCTACGCTGTCATGAACGATCGTGAAGGGCGTACCTGTGATAACATGGGCGAGCCCGACGGGTCAGTAAAAGCTCATATGCCATAATGTAGTAATCAAACCTACCTTTTGCAGCTTGAGCAGATTTTACGAAGTCGTTCCAGGTGGACTTATCCCCAACGATGCGGTATGAAGAATCCCACTTCTCTAGATCTAGAGCCGCATCGACATACCTCCCAATATCAAGTGAATGGGTGAAGGCGATTGGCGTGTTACCTGAGCCCGGAATGGCAGCCATATTATGCTCCATGTCAATAACGACAATCAGAGGTGACATGTAACTCTTAATCAAAGGACCGGTATAGTAATCCAGAAGGAACCCAGGGTAAAAGACGGTATACTCTAGGTCAGATTTCTGTAGCTCTGCAATAGCTTGGAGTTTCATAGGCACCGAGGGTGCCATTTCCTGGTGACTAACCGAAGAGTTAGAACTTCCCCTTTGCACAGTCCTAGCGGGGCGGCAAGCACTTACCTTGCGTCAAGGGGTAATCCCCAGTTGCTGGGGATAAATCTTCGCGTCGTTTTCGATCCCTGAGCAGCCTGAATTAGGCAAACCTCCGGAGCGACGCCTGCTACGGGCATCGTGAAAAGCGCAGAGATGACAGTATCAATCTTGTTTTTTTCAAACACCTTCGTCAGTTCCTCGACATCGGAATAATCGACTGCGATGACCGGAACCCCGGTTTCTTTCGCTAGGGAATCGTTTGCCTAAATTGTTCAGCGATCGTGATGGTCCATAGAAGACATCGAGGTATAAAAACATAAAGAAAATATAAGGCTCAGATGAACACATCTGGCAAGAGACGGCAACGTACCTTTCGACTGAGGATCTTGACTTCATGTTTGCCACGACTGGTGATGGCATCAACCAAGGCACGTCCAATCCCACCAGTTCCACCTGCCACTGCTATGATGGCCATATTCTTCGCTAAGGGATTGAATCGCAGAATGATTGAGTTTTAAAATAGCTAGCCGGGTTCTGGTTCATGTTATGGTTCTGTGGCGTTGGTAAGGAAGGCGCGGATTTATAGGCAGGCGAGATGATCCCCAGTGTAGCTTTGAGAACGCCTAGCCGGGGTTCAGAGAGTTCGAGCAGGCCGACAGCTCTGTATAACAAAGTCAATCTCCGGAGCTAACCAAAATATGTCGGCCTTTAAGGGCTTTGATTTATAATATCGAAATCTGCCAAACTCGTATACCTCGAAACTCCATGCGAAACTCTACCATTGTCTAGTGTCTAACATCCGTAAGCCTCTATAGACTCTAGCCATAACAATAGAGATAAGAGAGCGGTAATAATAGAATGGTGGGGAGGAGCTAATGCAGTTTGCTTACGCACTAAAAATCGAGATCTGAAACATGCTTTGCTCCTAGTTCTTCACTCCTATGATCGATTCACACGAGGTTGAGACCCGTCATATCCCTGAGTTTAAACTCTGCCCTCTTCCTTGCGAGGTTGCCCGAGATATTTTACCATTGAATTGAACCTACTACAATCACATTGACGATGGCTGGCCATCGATAAGCTATGAGTGACAAATCCGATCATGACAAGATAATGCCACGATGACGAATTCCCCCGCAAAGGCCTCCATGAATGACGGAAGGGTGGGAGCGCTAGTGCATCCTGCTTACGCACTAGAAAATCGTACCGTATGAACTCGGTAAATTCAATCTTTTTTCTGGGACTAGCTAAGCGCTATGAGGAAGTGATCCGCGAAGCCGTTGGTTAGAAAAAAACCCGGAATGGATAAGTGGGGATGCAAACGCACTTGAATTTACCGAGTCTGTACGATATTCCAAGGGTGCTCGATCCACCGTATAGATTAAAAATGGCAAGTGGAGTCAAAGAGGCTGTTACTAGTTCGCACCAAGTAGGCAGTCTTAGTTCACCCCCAGGACCGCTCGGACAAAAGCTCGGCATTGCTGCCGATTCCATGTAATAAGTTCCGTGCGGAACCCCTGTGTCAAGTGTGTCAAGGGGGGTAAGCAGGTTGCATATCAATAGTCCAAGCCCACTTCTGCCCTCCCCCCCAACCAAATCCTTTTGACCACATTTCGACTTTCACAGTAGTTTTTGGGCCATGGATGGTATCCTAACAGCTAGTGTCCCTGGGTCGATTGTGGTCCTGGGGTCAATGCCTCAGCGGCTGGAAGCAAAACACTCAGGCGATGATTGGACTGGCGTGACAAGCCCATCGGAGAGAAGGAAGCGGCAAAATCGGCTGCATCAAAGGGCTTATCGTATGTCTCGACCCATGTTTGTCCTCTTTCCCATTTGCAGTTAGCTGACCCAGCTGCGTGTTGCGGCATAGGAAAGAAAAGACGTCATCGCCCCGGTCAGCCCAGGCCAACGCCGGGTTCTCTATATCCTGCAAGTGAAGGCGTGGATAATCCGGTACCATTCCAAAATGGCGAGATGGAGGAGAATGATGGGGGACAAGACAGTGCCCCACAAGAGGGTCATCTCCTTCTGCCCACTCCCGAGTCGCGCGCAGTGGTTCAAAAGTTTACGCAAAGAGCGTGTGAAGATTACGAGCAAGGCGCGCCGCGACTTGAACATCTCTATATTATAGTGAGGCTCAATGTCCTTGCTGCTATCGCGCGTAACGCCACGCTACTCGGTTTCATGTTCGAAGGGCTGTGCAGCCCTGAGCTCGTTTCGCCATTCAACCAGCAAGGTCCTGATTTTCTCTCCACCATCATACCATCGCAGCCATTTCTGGGCTGGCTTCGGCCGACAGCATTGCAGGTCACCGTGCGGCACCATCCCTGGATCGACCTGATTCCCATTCCCCGAATGCGTGACAACATCCTGTGCGCGCTTAGGGATGGACTACTTAACAATAAGACATTAGGTCTCGACGTTCTTAACGTGGGAGACTCTCACGGTGATGCAGCTTGTCTTATTGTCTGGGGCGAGTCCTGGGACCCCAAGGGCTGGGAGGCGAGCGTCCCGTTCTTGCGGAAGTGGGGTGGGTTGATGGAGGGCTGTTCTGCATTGTTGGAGGCAACAAACTCCTGGCGCCACAAGAGAGGCGAGAAGAAGATAATTTTGTAGTTTCGTTTGATAAGCGCCGGGGCGAATGGCTTAGCCATATTATTCTCAACGTAACTAGTCTAGAAGTGTAGCCTTGGGCTCACGTCCCCCACCCCCCCAAACTTCTGCCATGAACTCAGTGACCTTTCTCACCTTGATGTCTGGGAACGTCTCGTTGATCGTGTGCAGTGGTTTGAGGTCAAATTGCCCATTCTCAATCATAATCCCCAGGCTTGCCATATAGCCTTCAAGAATATCCCTTGGCACAAATAGATTGGACGGCAAGGTCTTAGGAAGCGCCTTTGTCTTTCCGCTCTGCATGAGCTCCAGAGAGTCATACGTGACGTCGAACTTAGCGCCGGTGGCCTCCTCAATCGCGCGGAGCAATTCGTTGAAGGTTACCTTGTCGTTGATCACGTATGTCTCTTTCTCCCACTGAGATAGTCTCAGGCTTGCCGCAACAAACCTGGCAATGTCCACGGTATAGTTCATGACAATGGGAACATTACCTGAGCCTGGTAGTGCAGCGCGGTGGTTCACGATGTCAATCGCATACGGGAAGGGCGGCATGTAAGAAGGGGCATGTGGGATGACCCAATAATCAAGGAAGCACCCGACATACCAAGCCGAGTATTCGAGAGAAGTTTCCTTCAGAATGCGCAATACCTCGCGCTTCGCCCTGGCAACGTAGAGAGTCTCCAATTCGCTTTAAGCATACTGATGTTAGTGGGTACATGGACGAGATCCTCGAGTCCATGTGAAACATACCGTTCCGAATATCCAGCTCCCCAAATACTAGGAATGTATCGGCGTGTTGTCTTCGACTCCTCGGCAGCCTTGATAAGGTTGAACTCTGGCGTGGCGTCGACCTGAATGTTGAGTACTGAAATGACGGTCCCGACCTCGTTCTCTTCAAGGACTCGCTTGATGTCGCCTATATCATTGTAGTCCATCTGGACGGTACGGGAGATAGAGGGCTCTGTCTTGCTTTGTGACGGACCATTCTGGCGACGACATTAGCATCATCGCAACGTTATTGGGAAGGGGGGAATTTTTCCGTAGTACCTTTCGACTGAGCACCAAAACCTCGTGGTCGCCAGCCGTGACAAGGGCGTCAACGATTGTGCGACCTAAGCCCCCGGTTCCTCCTGCGACTGCAATTTTCTTTGCCATGCTTGGTATGATTTCTTCCCTATTGGTTTCGAATGAGAATGAACAAGGAGCATTTCGTTCTGATTGGGGGTTTAAATATATTATGACAGGCACACACCTTCGTCGCAATTACAAATCATCGGTAGCAATGACTCCCGACTTGATTAGTGTATCAAGTCATAATAAGCAAAGGAAAGGAAATTTAAGAAAAGGGTTAACAAACCGATCCATTCACATGAAGGCGAAACCCTGAGCACACTTACACTTCGAGGATGAGTCGCCCTAAGGGAATGACGGAACATTCAGGAGCAGCTAATGCGACCTGCTTACGCACTAAATTCGGAATTCTAAAAGGGCAATGTCTGTGCTCTATGCTCTGACTGATTCGCGCGCGGCAATTTGAAATCAGATATCAGGCTGGTAGATTCGAACCTCAACTGGCTGCTCCACATTGTCGACAGAAACTCAAATCCTTTGTTGTTTTTCAAATACCTTCTCTTGGGTCGGTTCGATCACAAAGTCCGTCTCCGTGGAGAATGCCGCCCCAGGGGTGGCTTTTAACTCAGCCAATACTTAGATCGCCTTGAAAAGTGATATATTTGGGTCCGCGCTTCAAGGTGCTCTGTTGGCCTACAACTCTCATAAATCATACGACCTCTTTTCCATCTCACCTTCTCTATTGCGCTTTCGTCTACCCCAACGTACCTCGACTCAAAAATGTCGGCGTCCCTAAAGTATACCTCCAAGCTTTTTGGAGCACGAGTCTTGATCATCGGTGGCTCTAATGGCATCGGATATGCCGTAGCCGAAGACGTCATCGAACATGGAGCTGCGAGCGTCGTCATCTCCAGCTCCAACGCAGACCGCGTTGCGGGTGCCGTGTCTCGGTTGAAGCAGACCTACTCAACGACGGAATGTCAAATTAGCGGCTTTCCATGCGACCTGAGCCAAGACAACACCATCGAGTCCAATATCGTCGCTCTCTTCGATGCCGTGACCGCCAACGGTACCCAGAAACTGGATCACATCGCCTTCACGGCTGGCGAACCGCCTGTTGTTAAGCCACTAGAGGAAGTGGACATCCACTTTATCAAGAAGACGGGCATGATTCGTGTCTTTGCCCCAATACTCATGGCTAAGCATGCTGTCAAGTATTTGAATCCTGGCCCAGCATCCAGTATCACGTTGACTACTGGTGCCAGTTCAGAGAAGCCGATCCCCAATTGGGTCGTCCTGGGCTCATACACTGCTGCCTTGAAGGGCTTGGTGAGAAGCCTGGCACTCGATCTCAGACCGATCCGAGTCAACGTGGCCTGTCATGGCGCAGTTGATACAGACCTTGTCGAGGGACTCATTGGAGAAGTATTGCCGGAACAAAGAGAGCAGGCCCGTAGTGGCCTTGCCAAAGCAACTGCGACCGGGGTAATTGGCAAGCCAGAAGATGCCGCCGAGGCATATTTGTACTTTATGAAGGATCGCAACGTGACGGGGACTTCGGTAGATACTGATGGAGGCATGTTGCTTTTGTAGAAGAGGTAGCTACCATTTGAAAGCTTGTCCGGTGTGTTGAGGCCGCAAGCGCTTACCTTGTTTTTTCCCTCCGTTTGTTTTTGTCTTGTGATCCATCATGGCTTCCATATATCTGGCCTTCTGCCGGGCCTTAGAGAATAGAAAGTGTAAGCCCGGCTCGACGACGATCCAAGAGACTCGTAGCGAGCGAAGGGGAAGAAATAATCTGATTGCTCATCTAATCCTCCTTTCCGGCCATCAAAAAGTTTGTCCGAGTCAGAAGAGTTGGGGAAATTCATCAGTGAAGCTTGGCTCAAATCTTGACTCTGGTGCTAGCTTGGTGCTATTCCATGCTGAAAATTTCCAACAAACTCGACGACAGGGTAGGGTCTCTAGGCAGCAATGAAGGAGAGTGCAGGTGTTTATCGTACTAATGATTGCGGGGGCGCTAGTAGATGCTGAAATGGAAAGTATTATTAATACATCATGCTATTCGGACTATTCGGACTACTCGGACAAATACACGGACGAACAAGCTCTACACAGGTGCCTAGGTACCTAAGAACATAGGGCACTTGCACCTAAGGCTAGGTACCTGTTCACAACATGTTCGTCCGCACTCCTTGACGTTTGGCAATACTGAGTTAAAGACATCCCGTTGCCCCGCCGAATATTTCGCCTGTATGCCCTCTCGTTATCGAATCAATATTCTTCCGTGACTTCCATTCCTTCTTGGCGCATCGTGACGTCATATATTTATCACAAGCAATTGCTATTCTGCCAGGTGCACAAAAACAGGTCAAATATATCTAGGTTGTAATGTCTTGGAGTTGCGATATTCAGGTCTAAAAACCATCGAAGCGTACATAAAAAACCGTCCGCTAGATTCATTGCCTCGTGCAATATTCGCCGTCGGCTCAACTCGTAGGCATGGGTATTCCGAGAAGGAAAACCTAACGCAGCTGTCTCCCACGTCTACCACGCGTATGCTTCAGCAGGAGCGCGTGGCCATGAACCTTAAATCACATGTGGCTGATAATTGTTAACTTGTGAATTGAGGGAGATGGAAATGAATATTTCCGCGTGAACGAGATAAATTACGTTTCAACTTTTGTGTACAAAAATTACCAAATTTTGAAGAACACCAAAACGGAACTGTATTTAGTTTTTTTGCTGCGTGGTTTGGGGTTGGCTGGACAACGTGTGGACGTGGGGCAAAATACGGCTGCCTGAGAAGGATAGCATTCATGCTGCCTCTGGAACTTGCACCCTGGAACATCGAGCCAGATTTGATCAGGCAGCAGAGAACTGCCGGCATATAAACCGCGCTCTCTAAGTGACCACAATACTGGATTGCAACTCCTTGTATCTCGGACAAAATGACACATCAGCTTCATCTCCCCCTCGAGCTCATTCTCCAAATTGTAGAAGCTTCCCTACCAACCGGAGGGCCTCAATTCATCGCCAATGTCTCGACTCCGGGCGCTCAACTGCTGGTCGCCTGGTCGCAGGTCTGCCGTGCAACGTACGAGCCGGCAACCCGGCTGCTGAGGCAGCATTGCATATACATTGACAGCTTTGCAAGACTCCAAGCGTTTCTACGATGTCTATCGGCCTCGAAAGCATCCGGTCCCGCCTCGACCCTCCCGCCGGCCATCCCCCCCGGATCCATCTCCTCCATTTACCTGGGGCTAGGCACGGATCCTCTCCTAGGATTTGTTGGATCTCTGATAATAAGAGACCTCTTGGTCGAGCTGGGTGACTCGGTCCGCCGGCTAATTCTGGATGTGCCGCTCCGCAGCCTTGACCAAGAGAGCGGACTTGACACGGCCTTTAACCAGCGGCTCTCCGAGGGTCTCTCGGCACTGAGCAATGTCGAAGAGTTCGTGTCGGTTGGGGGGTTGCCAACTCTCGACTTTTGGCGTCACGAATCCAATTTCTGGGAGCGCTGGCCAAAACTGCGACGTCTGGCCGGCTTCCAGGTCAACATCGCCGAGGAATCGCTCTGGTATCATGTAACCAGGTCTCGCGCGCTTGAGCAAGTGGTTATCTCTCGTCCACACCTGCTGCGAGTGGACAGGTGGAATTTCAAGCGTGCCATCGGTAAGTACTGGCGTCTTGAATCCGGGGGGGATCCCACTTTGGCCAGGCGCATGCGCATTGTGCTTGCGGATCACGAGTTCACCCCGTCGATCATCGATGATTCGGAGGGAGACAAAAATGACCCGATGGGGCTTGTGTGTATTTCGAAATTTGATGTGCCTATATCAGGCAATTCGATAGTGAGGACTGATCATGCTTGTCGGGAGTGGATGATCCAGGCGGCGAAGGAGGGGACTCTTTGGGGATGAGACCTGAGGATAGGTCTGGTCTGGAACAAATCCGATAGCCGATTGAACAGGATCAGGCATTCTGGTGTAGTTTATATTTATTTTAGCCAACTTTCGTGTAAGTGAAATTGACGAGTTTTGGTGGTGCTTTTTTCTTTTTGCCTGGTGAACGAGTGCTTGTGCATAGTAGGTGCCCGTAACACGCTCCCGCAAGACTGGGTCATTACTACAACAGAAAACGGCTGGATACTAAACGAGACAGGCCTAGAATGGGTTCGGCATTCTGATAAGCACACAAAAGCTCGAACTGTAGGCGATTACTGCCTCCTGATCCTAGATGGCCACGAGAGTCACTGTTCGGTTGGCTTCGAGCTCCTTTATAAGGACAACACGGTCATCGCGCTCTATATGCCGTCCTAGTTATCCTATATACTTCAGCCTCTGGATATTAGTTACTTTAGCCTACTCAAACAGGCATATGGACGACAGGTCGAGAGGAAGATGAAGGCGGGTATAAGTCATAACCTTTCTTGCATTTTTGGAGGTATTCTAAGACTCTATAATGGAAAAGAACATACGAGGAGGTTTTAGGGGTGTAAGACTTGTGCCTTTAGACCCGGAAAGTGTTATTTCTAGACTTGACGCGAAGCTACGTACGCCGACGCCTGTGGAGGAGGCCGATGAGCTACCCGCTCCCTGGGATTCCAAGACGCCGAATAACCCTATAGAGGCAACTCCGCAGTCCGATTTCATTAAGAATCGGCCCTCCAGACATCAGGGAAGCTCCCCAACTTCGATTTTAAATGCTGTCGACCAATTTGTTACGGGAGCGCGGAGAATCATGCACCAGTTTGCCTTGTTGAGATCGAAGAACTAGATCCTTCGAGAAGAGAATGAGATACTTAGTCAACGTCGACGAGTCAAGGTGCAGCTAAAGCAGGAAAGTCGAGGACGTGGGCGTCGAGAGTGTAGGTCAGAACAAAGGAACGGCGATGTGACGAACAGGTCAGATAGAAGTAGGAGTATCTCAGGAACAGAGTTCTAATTGATTTGATCCGATTTTGAATATTGGGGTTGATTTTGCAGGGTCAATAGTAGCGAGGTTGCGGTCAAGTGGCCTGCTCGCTTGTCTGGCCCGCTGGCTTATCATGCACGTTATCAATTGTGCTGGTTCTAATAATTCTAACCCGGTTCTACCAGACAATATGCTCACAATCCTCCAAGCTGAAAGTAGAGACAATATCCGCTCTACGTATTTTCTATTTATTTTATTTTCTTGTAAAAAAGGTTCGCGACCTGGCGATCTAGGCAACATACCTTCTTCTCACCCCCGTGCCAGTTCGCTAGAAGAAGGGAAAACCATCATTTGGCCGAGCCCCAAGACCCGCGCCAGCCGGTTTGAACCGAGCTGGCAAAACCACAACTTCTCTCCAGAACACACTTAGCTAGCCCTCGAAGGGGTGGTTCTCATGAGTTTCGAACCCGTCACCTTCGCCGCCGTAGGCGGATCAGGCCTCCGGATGACAAGTGGCAGGCGATCACAGATGTGTCGTGAAAAAGTCCACCAGTTTTGGGACGCTCTGGTTGGTGTGGTCGTACAGGTCAATGTGTGTCAGACCGGGAACTTCGAACAGTTCTTTGGGCTGGTTCGCTCTTCGGATGGCTTCTTGACTGAAATAAAGTGTGTCCGCATCACTACCAGCAATCATCAACAAAGGCCGGGGCGAGATGAGATCGATGTCTGCATAAGACCGATATGTGGCAATCATGTCCAGGCTGCGCCAGAGATGCCAGTTCGGTGCTGTCTCGACGTGGCCACGAGGTGTTTGGTAGTAATCGTACGACTCTTGGTAGAATACCGGCATGTCTGGCGATACGTCTGCGGCAGTCTGAGGAAAAATTCGAGTTAGGTTGGGCTTGGCGCCCAAAGCCTCTTGTGTGCGTTGCCTGCCTGCCTCTTCGAGCTGGCTCTCCAAAGTCGGAAGCATATCTCCATTGTAGCTTGCGAACCCTTCGGAATATAGTGTTCCTAGATCGATCCCACTAACAGTTGCTACCGCCTTCATGCGTTTGTCGGTTTGTGCTGCGAAAGGTACATAACCTCCTGAAGCACAAATACCCAGAACACCAATGCGTTCGGGGTCCACAATGTCCAGTGTGGAAAGATAGGTAACTGCATTCCTAACATCCTCGGCCCGTTGGTAAGGATCCTCGAGGTATCTCGGGAGGCCGCCGCTTTCCCCTTGGTAAGCAGCATCAAAGGCAAGGGTGATGAATCCGGTGCGTTCCGCGATCAGTCGCGCATAGAGACCGGATGTCTGCTCTTTCACACCACCATGCGGGTGACTTGTCACGATTGCTGGTCGTGACGCATTGCCCGTTGCATTTGTAGCTGGTACGTATAAATGCGCAGCAAGAGATATGCCGCTGCTATCAAAATGAACCCATTGAGGTTGTAGATTAGCAGCAGCAAAATTGCCCAGAGCCACAAAGGCCACTGAGCATGATATGAAAGTGCTCTTCCAGCCTGGCATGTTGTCGGAGGCAAGGTATCTTGGTCGCAGGCAAGTAGAAAAGAAAATAGAGATGAGAGGTCAGTATTGTAGAGTGAATGAACCGGAGTGTTAAAGCGAGGAGTTGTTAATGTGTACTTATATTTGATGCTCTTCTGAACTCGGAGTTATCATTAATCGCCGTGATGAAGTCATCATTCGTTCTGAATAGGCTCGTCATGAAACAGGAAGAACCAGGTCTATCCCCTCCAAGCTACAAGGAATGGCAATGGGACTCGGCCATACTTCGGCTTTTGGGAGAGAGACACGCAACCTATCATTTTATTACCGCCGATCTCGCATGACGCTCGTCGGCATGTGTCTAAGAGGGCTGTGTCATTATCAGGCCATGACGATCGTGTCACGAGCCTGAATTCTCTGATGGGTCTGATTGGATGTGTGTATGTTCTTAGCTTCGTCAGGTCCCTGCTCTAAGTTCTGTTGGATACGCAATGAGGTAGAGGTGAATTCAGTAGATTATAGGCCAGAAATTGATGATTTTATTAATTGAAGTCTTGATGATCTTGTTCTTGCTCGCTTCATCATCATGCGAGAGAGGCGTTAGTCCATTCTTGATGTTTTCACCGCTACAAGCCACACATTGTTATAACGAAAAGCAAACTCCCTTCTATCCGTACACAGGCGCCAATCTAACCAGTCTCTGTACATCCTTATGCTAGTGTAGCTAGAAGGATCTTGCTATAACAAGTACACGACCAATTATCCAAAATACAATACAATACAATTCATTACGCCCGGAGGCTTAAGCCGAAAGGGGACTAGTTAGTAATATTTCCATACATTATCTAAACTACACACCGTAACAGATTGTGCCTATCTCGGCGCAAAGTGGCTAGGGGTACCCCCGTAGTGAATAACACGCTAATGCAACATGCTTATGCTTTGCAAGCAACTTAAATTCTGCCGCGTCACCACCTACACTCAGCCTCAAGTTGGCAGACCATGCTTCAGCTGCTGAATATAGGATGCTGAACACTTGGAGAAATTGGCATTCAAGCAAGCCTATCACACAGAGTCAAGCGAAGCGAGACCAACCATCAGATGAGGAAGAACGTGGGGCTTCTGGGAGACGCGAACCAAAAACGTAGAACTGCTTCGTATACACAGCCTAACCCACCTGGCAATGCCCCAGTGCCCGGAGATGACCTACCGGATACTCTCACGAAATTCATGCTTGCTAGCGCCCCCACTGTCTATCAGCCTCTCATCCAATTGGTCTCTGGCGTATTCTAGGGAATCATGGGTGCGCTTCACTCTTCAGAGCTGGGCTAGGGAGCATGGAATTCGTAAGAGTATACGGTACAATCGCGTCATCGTGCTGGTGGAAATATACGGGCATTATTGTGATAAACTCTATAGTCTCCTCTTACCGATAAAGCTCGCATATATAAGGCAGGACCTGCAGAAACGAATATTTGATCATCACTGTCTTTGTTTCTAGTCTCTCATCTTCTTCTCAAGCCAGCATTAACAATGAAGAACCCAACAGCCCTCGGCGGATTATTGCGGGCTGCGGTTGCCTTTGCGACTCTCGCCGCCACGAGCCCTCTTCATGAATGTGCTCGTGAACAGACCTGGGCTGTGGGACAGACCGTTGCCACGACTAGTGGGAAAGTCATAGGCCACGCAGCACCAGTTGCTAATGAGGTCTCTGAATACCTGGGGATCCCGTTCGCCCAGCCTCCTATCGGATCCTTGCGATTCGAGCCTCCGGTTCCGTTCAATGGGTCGCATCATATCAATGCCACAGAGTTCGTAAGTCCATCCTGCCGTAGTATTTCGCTTACTCCAACTGTTTTCTTGCCACATTATCAACCTCCTCCTATTTCTAAGCTACGCTTCTGATCAAACTCCACGCAGGGATTCGCCTGTGTGCAGACTGGCTCGTCTGATGATCCTCAAAGCGAAGATTGTCTAACTCTCAATATCTGGACGAAGCCTCAAGTTGGGGAGAAGAAGAAAGCTGTTCTTGTGTGGATTTACGGTGGCGCATATGTGCTTGGTAAGTTGAACTGTTACGGTGCTGTATTCCATTTTAACTTGGCCATTCAGGCAGCTCCAGGCTTCCCATATACAACGGGCAGTTCTTTGCTGATCAGGAGGATGTCATCCTTGTCTCGTTCAAGTAAGTGCCTCCACATGTTCTCGGAAACAGTGTCACTAACTTTTGTGAAGCTATCGTCTCAACATTTTCGGCTTCCCGGGCAATCCAGCTACTCCCGCAAATCTTGGTTTGCTCGACATGAGGCAAGCATTGCTCTGGGTCCGTAATAATATTGCGAAATTCGGCGGCGATGTGGATCGCATTACCATCTTCGGGCAGTCGGCTGGCGCCGGCATGGTGGACTTCTACTCGTATGCCTACGCTGAGGATCCGATCGCGAATGGATTTATACTCCAGAGCGCTACTGTGGACGGCTTCCCCGCGTTGGTCCCGGGGGCAACGGTTTCCAGATGGTCCCGAATCGCCGAAGCCGCAGGGTGCGGTCCCACTTCCGAAAATCCAACAGAATGTATGAGGAGCAAGACTCCTGAAGAGATTCTCGGCGCCTTTTCTGAGGATGATACGGCCATTGGTGCCAATCCGCAATTTGGACCAGTGGCTGATGACATCCTCGTCTATGCGGACTATAACTCTCGGCGCTCCGCTCGTGGTGGTTATCTGATTGGTAACAATCAGAATGAGGCAGGAATCTTCCGACTAATTCAGCCAAACCGGACCGAGGCCTACTGGCGAGACTTCAACGATCGCCTCTACACATGTGCGGACGCAGAGAGGTTGGCCCGGTCCACCGCAGAGGGCAATCCGTCCTGGAGGTACCGTTACTTTGGAGATTTCCCCAACCTGGCCGTCTCGACCGACCCGCCAAGCGGAGCATACCATGGCGCCGAGGTATGTTTTGTTTTATAATGCTCCAATATACAAGCACGATGTTAGGACCTCTAAGCTGACGGTTCGTAGATCCAACCTCTCTTCGACACGGTACCCCAGGAGCCTGTGCCTAGCACACTAGAACAGGTCGCTGTTGGTGACTATTTGCGCGGTGCTTGGGCCGCATTCGCCAAAGATCCGAAGCAGGGCCTGGTTGCTTATGCAGAAGGATGGCCGAAGTACAAGCCAATGCAGGAAACTTTGGTTCGACTTGCCTTCGATAACCAGGTTGGAGCAAACTTGGCTTTAGGTAACGCATATGATGGTCCTTGCGACTCTTTGTAGATGTCGTGTGGGTCGGTCAAATCTCGCAAATCGGCAAGAGCTACTAGCGGGACATGTGAAATATAGTGACGAGACTTATAGGGATTGTTAGGAGAGTACTAGTACTAGGAAACCAAACAGAGCTCTAGCCTTGGATCCGAGCACGGTTCCCCAACTCAACAGAGCCAATTAAGCCTTCAATAAGACAGGATGTCCAGCCTAGTTCAATTCAACATTTCCCAGGCCTTGAGAAACCTCACAACTAAGACCCTTCCCTTCAGGCTTTGGCCAACTATAGTGCAAGAAGCCAACTGCAGAAGGACTTCCAAAACCTGTGTGAATGGCTACTTTTTGGCCTCTATGACTGGGATTACATCCTCGCGCCACTCTTTCCAGAATGAACCGCCCTGCAAGGTAACACGTCAGCCAAAATGTCAGAGTGACACGCCGAATATGACGTGATAATTGTCCCGTCAGTCATTTCTCTTCGAGCTACGACGATTGCAATAGTACGCAACAGTCAGTGTTGAGCTTGAAGATCCATCGAGCCAAGAGACTCTTCACTACACTTGATACGAAGACACACTCTTTTACCAGCTCCACGGCGACACTGAAGTGGATGGATCTGGTCAGGAGCATAGTATGATGGGCCTGAATGCACGCTGGACCAGAACAACCACACCTACCAACTCAGATAGCAACTGTAGGATAGCAGCCTCCGGGACTTGTAGAAAATCAGTACTGGGATCACAATCACACAGCGCCCAAGCAAGCAATTTGTAATCCGAGTGCTTGGAGCGTGTGATCATATGATAAGAAGTGTAATATAGAAGAGCTGGGGGAAAACAAAGGGTAATTAAGGCCGTATTGGCAGCTGGGCTTGAGCCCCTGAAATGTCTGAAAAGAAAAGAACTGAATTCTACCAAAAGTCTGGCTAAGGTCTGCATAAAACTCGATGCCCCTTTTCAAAGAAGAAGAACCCGGCTGCGCCTTGAATTTCCCTTGAAGCCCCTTGTGGCTCACGTACCGGCTTTAGCCAGCTGATTCAATCACGACAATGGCCGCATCTCTCCAGGCATAGTAAGGTCTCCTGAAGACGTTTTCACGGTGTAGCTGAGTTTCTTCCAGGTGAAAACAGAGGCGTTGCTCAGAAGGGCTTGTCAGACATGTCAGAACCATTCGGCTTTGCCTTGAGAGTAGCCTCTGTCTGCATGGTGCCGGAATTGCCTAAGCCGGCCTGAGACTCCTCATCCTTTGGCTGGAGGGACTTTTTTGGGACAACATGTTCTCGAGGCACGAGATGGGCTCCGCCTCCGATATATGACCGCCACCCGCTGGTGCAAAGAATCGTCAACCCAATGAAAAGAGCAGTCCAGGCCCAGACTATGCCAAGGGTCTAGTCGGATGGGGTCAACATCATTAGTTAACCAATGTGGGTGTTGCATAAATACGCCTTCTTACTGATCAGATCAGGCCTGCAATAGGACTGTTGTATTTTTATATGGATTTGATGGGCAGGCGCGAGATTTCCCCACGGAATGCTAGTTGTGTATACACTATCTGGGTAGCTTCGGACTCGAACAAATCTTTTGAAGAGAACGGATTGGCAAGGAAAGACTCTGAAAACTGTGTACGCACTCATAAGTGAAGACCCTCCGCCCTGATGTTTATAATGTCTTGGCGTTGTCGCATATCCTGCTCGTAGGCCCAGCAATCATTGCCGATGGCTGAAAGCAGCCGCGGTTTCGATCTTGTGGAGGTCGCCTTTCCTTCCACTGTAGCACAACATCTTATACTTAGGTGGCATAATTGACAAAAGGTCTTGATTTTAATAAGGCTAAAGGTAAAGTAGAGACCAGCCAGAGTATAAATATTAGGATTTGCGCAGCTATATATTTTATATTATAACTAAATACTAACTAAGTTAATAAATTAAGAAAATAATTAAGCTATAATACTTTCCAGATTATATAGCTAGCTAATAGTATCCTATTAGTTACTAGTTGTAGCCGAGAGTAATATATCTGTAATAATACTATTGCAATTATATAGCCTATTAAAGATATACTCCTGGCTCTTATTCTACAAGCCGGCGTTGTAGCTGCCTGTTAGAAGGCTCTTAGTATGGGATCTTGTTTTTGTGATGCTATTATCGAGCTCTACGTCCGGCCTGTATAAAGTAACGGTATTTCACTGGCGATTAATAGCTACTAGTAGCCTAAGATAAGATATACAGTTGAGAATATAGTTATTAATACTCTATTATCCATTATCTATTTGTAAAAAGAAAGAGATAAGATATAAAATGTATATTAACTAATAAATACTTTAGTTTTATATATAATTTTCTTGTAACTAGAGGTGTTATTATTAGTAATTTTATTAGACTAGATTAGTATTAAAGTGGATTTAGATAGAGTGGATTTAGCTGGACTGGATTTATAGTTTTTAATGGATTTAATATAGCTAGAATAATTAGAGTTTTTAAATAGAGTTAACTATAAAGACTAAAGATAATTATATTAATAATTATATTTTTAGAAATTAGAATTTTCTTTACTTACTTTATTTAATAAGAAGTTTTTAAGTTAATTTTACTCTTTTTATAACTAAGATATAATATTAATATATTAGAAATTATTCTTATTTAAGCTTTTAATTTAGTATTTAAAAGTTAGTTTAATAGTTTTAGAAATTTAAATTAAATTAAATTAAAAAGTTTAAAACTTTTAGAATATTAATAAATTATTTTTAATTATAAAAAAAGTAAGCTTAAACTCTACTTTTTATTTTAAATATATTATTTTATATAGTATTAATTAGTTTCTATAATTACTTTATATAATTACTATTATTTAATACTTTTTTTTTAATATATAAATATACTAAGTAAGAGAGTAAGTAGAGGATACTAAAAACATATAACCTACCTAGAGGTAGAGCTATAATAACTGTAATAGTATTATATTGGAAAAGTTAGATAGAATTAAATTTAAAGTCTGAATAAATTAAATAGCCGGGCAAAATAAATAGCTTTTTTAGCTGATACTATTTAATTAAATAGATTTTTAATAGGTTATTAAAGAATAGATTAAAAGACTGTTAATTAAATAAATAAAAAATCAGATACTAAAAGGATAGTACTTATATTATATCTAAAAGGTTTTATTTAAGATCTTTTCAATTTATAGCCTTAGTAAGTCTAGCTACTAGTTCTATTTAATATAGTACTTTCTATTAAAGAAACCTACTAATTCTAGCTCTAGTAGCTATAAGTATTTAATTAGATAATTTTTATTCCTAAAAACTAAAAAGCTTTAACTTAATACTTAAAAAAAAGTAAAATAAATATTTCTTTTAAAAAGAAATTTAGTTTTTTATTTATAGAGAAATTCCAGCTAGTATAGTTAGAAATTTATAATTAATATTAAATTTTTTATATATTTTTTTAAATTTTTAATAATTTCTTTTTATAATTAAATTACTAGCTTTTAAATTTTAAGAAAAGATATTTAAAATTATAATTAATTAAATAGTTATAATATTTATATAGCCTTTTTTATTTAAATTTAATAAAAAATTTAATATTTTTTTATATATATTAAATTCTTAATTTTTTAAAATTATATTTTTAATAATATTTTTAAAATAATTAAATATAATTTTAAATTAAAAAAATATTTATTAAAATATTTTTAATTAATTTAATAATTTAATAATAATAAAAAATTAAAAATAATATTTAATTTATCAATTTATCTTAAAAAAATATAAAAAATTATTATATAAATATCTTAGCTAATTAGCTTAAAGCTATATTAAATTATATATATAAATTTAATTTAATTTAAAGCTTATATCTTTTAATAGAAAATATCTTATAAAATAAAATATTAAGTTAATTATAAAAAAGTTTACTAGTAAGATATTAATAGAATTTATAATAGCTTAATATTTAAAAGAGATTAAAAATAAAAATTAAATAGAAAATATAATAATAGTAAGAAATTTTAAATAAATCTCTTAAAAATAAAGGTAATTAATTAATAGACTTCCTAGTAGCCTTAAGCCCTTCTAGCCTCTCTAACTTCTAGAAAGAATCTCTAATAAAAGAAAAGACAATAATAATCCTCCCCTAGAATAGCACTGACCTCCCCTTTTAACCTTATCCAGGCCACCCTAGAGACATCCCCGCTAGCAACCAGCTAGCCCAAGCATCCCTAACCGCCTGTTACAGTATTAGAAATACTACTATCTTAAAGTTACTTAATAGCAATTTCAAAAGGCTTCAGAAGCTTAACGAGTATCTCGATAACCTTCCAGTCGTACACACTCAGCTGGTATTCCAGAACTGCTAGCCTTATCCTCTCACAAACACCCTCGGTCTCCCAGCAGTTCTGAACGTCGTTGAAGAAGGTATTAAGTACTGGAAGGAGAAGAGCCCCCTCCATCATACGCATGTCCGAGTCCCATCGGGTGGCGTTCAGGCTTTCTAACCATACGCGTATGGTTTAGTTAAACCATATGTTACTCATATATTGCCTATATACCTATACCATACGGTCTGAGGCGTATGACTATATATGATCATACGCGGGATAATATTGCTGCGAGTCAAAAATAGTCAAGTAGGGAAATCGGTGGCACTAGAACACCTTGACCATCCTCCTAGTCCTAAAAAGCCTCCCTTTCCAATAATTATGCTTCGGCTCATCGCTCTTGGGTTCTCGGGCGTAGGTCCGGATGCTTGAGACTCGGGATACTAGCGGTTGGATATCTGAACCTGCGGCAGTAGAGGACAAATCCAAAAGGGATAACGAGTCCGGCAGAGAAGCCATAATAAGAAATCAATGCCCCACTATCCCACGGTCCGTCGACGAAGGGTCTTCAAATTGGGAATAGAAAGTGCGATGTAAGACGGTAACGTAATGCATTTCAAAGATGAGATGGCAGCTTGACTGAATCTTGGCCTGTTTTCTCTCAAGTCCCTTGCTCTCTACTAACTACACTATACCGCTTTCCAGCTCGAAATTGCGATATTTAAGCCACACCGACGGTTAATAAGATTGGTTAAATTTCGGCTGTATCATTGCCGATATCGTCGATATCGATTGCGATATCGATAGGGGTTGATACGATATTGATCAATGATAAAATCGACATTTTTATCGATGGCCACCCTGTCATCCTTGCTCATTCGACAGTGGTCTTTTCTGGATGCTAAGGGGCATGGGCCTTGGCCAGAGGTTGAAAGCCTCCTCATGATCCAACTGCCAATCTGCACTCGGCAGTGCAAAATCGTAGCGCTGGACCAATGAAGCGACAAACACCATCTGCTCAATGTAGGTGATGTTGCGGCCAATGCATCCCCGAGCTCCAGCGCTGAAGGGAATGAATGACGCTTTTGCGTCCTTGTCCATCTCTTCCAACCAACGCTCAGGATAATAAGATTCAGGTTGAGGAAACAGTTGGGGGTTTCGATGTGCTGTATAAGCTGGGACTGCAACGGTTGTGCCTCCAGGAATCCATTGGCCATCAATGGTAATTCCCGCTGGGCCTGTCTTGCGGTTCAAGCCAAATGAGACCGGAGGCAACAGACGCAACGACTCATCAAGACAAGCTCGCAGATACGGCAAGTTCTTGACCTGGTCGTAGGAGGCAACTGGGTCGTCTCCTTGCAAGGATTCGTCCAACTCTTTTCGCAGGCGATCAAGAGCCCTCGGATTGCAGAGGAGATTATACATAACGTGAGTCAGTGCGATAGCGGTTGTATCCGAACCTGCATCGACTGAGTTCAGTCAGCGAGAGATCTCAGAAGCCCAAAGAGCGCGACGAGATTGTACTTACGCAAAACGCTGACTTCGGCTTCTATCTCGCCATTGTGCAATCCGCGAAACTGGCTGTCCTTGTCTTCAATAACGCAACGTATGATGTCGTCCAAGTCCTCGCCGTTTCGGTGGCGCTCGGCTCGTACCCGCGTGAGATGATGGACCATGGCATCGAAATCACTGCCCATGGACCACTGGAAGCGGAACCATCCAGGAACAGCGGTCAGGACCGCCCGTAAAAGACGGAACCATCTAGTTGACCACACAAGCGTCGATGTTGCCCGTTTACCGCCGTGCAGGCATTCAATGTACCGAACTTGCTTCTCTTTCCCGTCGACGGTCGTGATCTTCACATAGTCATCACCCCGATCGAGACATCCGAGTTTGTGACTCAAAGCAATGTCCACGATTGCCTCAATGGTGAATAAATTGGTCCACTTACGAAAATTGACGACTGCAGGTGTGGTGCTGTTAGAGGACCCGTTTTGTTCACAGATGCGGTCAAATTGTAGCAATAGCTTCCCGACCTTGTCTGCGACCTTGAATTCCCAAGTTTCCAAGTTGCGGGTGGCAAGGGCATGTGACATATAGCGGCGCTTTCGGGCGTGATCTTCCTTATTGACGACATCCAGGAGACTGACGTGGGGTCCTGCCGAGGCAGCGTACATATCTCCTTTGACGCAGGTAGTCGAGTGCCCGTAGATGGCACGGATTGCATCCGGAGAAGAGAAGGATAGAGAGTTGGGACCTGTACGGACGACAAGATTGCTTTCATGCTTCTTGTGTAGGTTCTTGGACCGGAAGCCGCGACAACGTTCGATGATGTAGCCGAGATTGGTGAAGCCCGAGAGCGCATTGTGGTTCGGGAAGCGTCGCAGCTTCTTTGGATCCCAGATGTATCGAGACACCGGCTCCAGTACAAAAAGAAGAGCGAGAGTGACAGCCCAGGTTGCCAAAGATGTCATGGTGTTGGTGTGTTGCGTGAAATTGTCTGGTTTGATTCTCAGAACCTGTATTCATGCTACCCTTATTTATACTTGTCTATCGCAGAAAGCCAGTCAAGAAGAGCGCGACAAGCAGACGCTCGGGAGTCCCTAAGAGGGCAGTTTGCCTACGGAGATTGGTGCATTGATCGCCTGGAATTTCTCCCAGTGCTCCACGTCTGCAGCTGTGGCTGTTTGTGTGATGCTGGGGAGTCAGGCAAATCATATGGGCAGTCGGTATTCCAAGACTGATTTGGTCACCGCTCAAGGGCAGCGAGGTGAGGACTGCCGCATTCAGTAATTCAATTGCAGTTTGTGGTAAAACTTCCCGATCGGTTGGCGCCGGCCCCATCGCGCCCACGAACACTTCAAGCTAGATGGGTTTGCCGCGCAGCAAAACAACGAATCGGCGGTCATCAATACCCCGGACGCTCCGGCTTGATGCCCTCGGGCCTCCACTTCTCGCATCAAGCGAATCCACAGAGGAAGCACGTAGAAGCGAGCAGAACGCTGTCTCTCCGCGGTGTTCAATCGGCATTGGCCGATGGTGGGATGTGGCCATTGGCAGAAAGAAGATGGCGGTTACGTCATCATTCCATCGTGGTATGACGTCATGCAGGAAGTCAAAAGCCGAGGTTGGGACCCATGTTCACTTAAGGTATGAAATCCGGGGCACACCCTTCAATTATCCACATCGGAAGTTACTGCTATCTCTCACTCCAATGGATTGTCCGAGCCCCAAAGCTCACACAAGCGATTTTCTTGTTTCAGTATTGCCCATCCCATATGTGACTCTGCGGCTCTGACCACCTCGATAAGCTGCTTCTGCTCTTTGCGACAGGTGAACCGATCACCACCTTCATCAAGGTCAACGAAGTCTGCAAACGGGATAAGAAAACTACTTTATTACTTACAAACCGCTATGGCCATTCCGGCTGTGAACGTGGCTGGTGGATACTGCGTGTTGCAAGTAGCGACTCCACAAAGATTGAGCACAAGACCCCGGATCTGCTCCTCGGCAGATCTGGAACGCTGTAAGCGGTCGAGTCCTAGAGATGGCATGCGAGGGTTATTTGCTGTTAACAGTATACGGCATATATCCGCATACTGCTGCCCTGCTACTGATTGACCTGTCAACAACTGTCTTGAGGCGCACAACACATCAGGGCAGTTTTCTGTGATGGGAAGGCCACCGACATACCATGGAAGTCATTTGCAAACCAAATCTCCGGAAACACGCTCTCGCTAGGCTCGGAGTGCCAAACAGGGTTAAACGATGGTGGTCTCTTTGCAGTCCACTCATCTAGATAACTGTTCAACTCGTCCCATTCCTGTCGTCGATGCAGAGGTTCCCCGTAGACATAAGACAGAACATCTTCTGTATGAATGATCATCCTCCATACCCATGTGTAGTCGTCGGCCGGCTCGGTGCTCCTGGTGATCCCACACTGCCGACCTAGTGCCCTCGGGGGTTTCCGAGTACTAAAGGAGATGAATATCTCTTGACGTACGGCGATCATCAGGGATGCCCGACAAAGGCTATAGTTGCTTTGCATCGGGTCTTGTGACATGGTGAAAATATCGACATCGAGGGTGTGACCATACGGCCTTTCATCGGGGCCAGGGACTAGCAACGGTTAACACCACATACTCAGCTTACGGAACGTTTTCGAACCAGTCATTTCTTCGTAAAGCCGCAGTATCATACTTGCTGCACAGAGATATCCGTTGTCGAGATTGCCATCCTGATTCGCGAGGGCAGGGATCAGATGCTCAAGGCATATTGCCTGGTATCGATCTGCTGCCAAAGCATCCGCTTTCTGTGACAAACTAAGATGTTTCGAGGATATAGCAAGAATGGCAGCGTAAAGTATCGGATGGCTCGCGGCAGCCTGTACAACAGTCGTACTGAAGTGCCGGTGCTTGTCGCAGTAGTCAAACTGAAGTTATGTTACTTCCAAAAGTGGTAAGACAAGACGTACAGTACTTACCCATGAAGACAGTTGATTAGCAAAATAACAGACGAGCAAGGCGTCGGTCCGGCTGTTAAGGGGCCAAAAGGGCAATGCCAGGTCAACATCCTGGCCAAATGGTGCTGTTGTCGAAACAGGATGACAGTTAGGTCTGGGCGAACCACCTGTGTAAACATCAAGGGGCAGCACGGGCATACTCACATGTAGAAGATAGGCTTTGAATGTCAATTTGGCCATGGTCCAAGTCTGTGGAATTGCCAAGGTGCAGGGTTTCATCCTGGGGGAGGACCTCATCTTGGGAAGGGGTATCATCTTCGAAGAGGGTGACAGAGAGAGTCTCATGCTGGGAGAGGGTCCCACAAAGATTGTCATCCTGTGGCAGCACCTCATTCTCAAGGAGGATTTGGTTCTGAGGAACGAAAGTGACTGTCCAGGAATTGAGTATTCACCGTGCGTGCGTTCGGAGCAGCGAGGCACTCTCACGAGACGTCGGTATGGGAACCCACGTATGGGTCGTCGAGAAAGAAATCGCCCGGTTGGTCCGGGGCTCCACGTGGTCGGCGGCCTCGACAACGGATGGGTTATGGCAGTGGCGAAAAGCGAGGCTACGGGACGAGTCGCGGCACCGCCGGCCGCTCTCAACGCAAGGTCTACAGGCAGAGTCAGAGGCGTCGCCTGTGAACAGCTGTCAGCGAAGCTCCTAGTGCGACGATCGCGAGCATGGAGCTCAGGGAGAACCACATTTCAAGTGCAGCCGTCGGCATCGATCGCTGTCGTCATTAGTTGGCGGGTCAACTGGCGCATTCGACGTTGGCGTAAACAT